GGACCCAGCAGAAGAGACAGTCGAAGGAGAGGCAGGAAGGACGGGTCTGCACGAGGGAGTCCAGAGAGAGGAGTCCGCACGGCAAGCCCCACCCTGAGCATGGACCCAGCTCCGCCCAGAGCGCACCCGATAACTGCCTCCGCTTCCCACAGCACAAGATGGGAAGGATGAGGAGGCCAGCCTCAAGAGGCCTAGGTGTAAGTGCTGTGACTCCACGAACACAGTCCACACTCCACACTTCTGGCACACACGTCCAGCGCCGCCATTCAGTCTCCGTCTCACCGTCACCACCATCCTGCCTGGCCAACGACTCTAACAACACATGACGTTCACACATGACGTTCACGGCCTGTGAACTGAAATAATAAAAATAACGACACATCCTAACAAATGCCTACAGGGTTCCTGACACGGTCACAAATTCCTTCCTTCATCCTCACCGACTTTACAGGCTCATCAGCCGTTTGCAAAGATGAAGAAACAAGTGCAGAGAGGTTAAGTAACTTGTCCAAAGTCACAGAGCAGGGCTGTGGCAGGACCGGGATTCATGCCCAGGCTGTCAACTCACCCAGGGCACACTCTGGCCACCCCATGCCCCTGGGCTTGGCACCCATCAACGAGCCATGCCCACTTGCACCTGAGGTTGGTGGTGCTGGCGGAGGTGTCCACAGTTGAGATGGATTCCACACTGATCCCAGCTAAAGGAAGAACACACTCGCCAGGAGCATGGGTCACGCAAATTGCTGATCCCCCAAGTCAGCCGGGCAGAGGGGCTCGGGTTTGGGGGCTGCACCAGAAACTGCCGGATGCTTCCATGTCATGTGTACAAGAAGCATGGGGCTGGGGCCAGGGCCATCAGCTCATGATGGCCCAGCCTGCCCTTGCCCACATGGCCCCTCCTTGCTGGCCTGTTGACCTGAGAGGAGGCATGGAGGCCCCTGTGGGTCCTGGTGGGTCACCATGCCCTGTGGGCTCCCTCCACAGCTGCCCGAGGACACGTGCCCTCAGCTGTCACCTCCTTCCTAAGAAAATCTGGGAGCACTCCAGAAGAATGGCCCTGAGCATCGGGCCTGACGAGCCCAGGCTAGACAGGTCAGCTCAATTTTCTGTCCTGACACATCCCTGACCCAGAGGGAGAGCTGGCCCGAAGCCCTGTGCCTGTGTGCCTGCATGGCTGGCCTGTGGGAGAGCTGAGAACCACCATCCCCGAGAGAGGTGAACAACCTGCGCTTTCAGGCTGCGGCATGCAGATCCGGGGGACTCGGGCCAGAGGGGCTGGGGCCCTGGACTCCTGGCTCCCATGGCCCCCTGGCCTCACTGGCCTCATCTGTAAAATGGACCCCACCAAGCAGTACTCTGAGGGGAACTGACTGGGTGGTAGGCAGAGGAGCTTGAGGGGGTTGGTCCACAGGGAGGGCCGTCAACACACCAGATCCAGACGCACGGCAGCCAGCGTGGACGCAGGCCCCCTTCCCACATGCCACAGCCTCATCACCACCCTTCTCCCTTAAACATAAGCACCATGAGGGTCAGGATTCTTGTCTGCGTGGCTCACTGCTGTGTTCCCAGGGCCCGGGACTCCAGACCCTCAGGAAGCCCCCAAGAAATACGGGCTGAGAGAAGGACAGAGCTCCCTGACCCAGGAGTTACCTGGGGAGGGTGGGCAGATGGGGCAGCTTCACCTCCACCTCCTTCCCCTACATTCTTGGGACCTCAGGAGTCTTGGAGACACCAGGAGCCTGGATCCTTCTCCTCCCGTGGTAGAAGCCACAAAGGCCCTGGAGCCTGTCCTCCCGTGGCAGAGACCATACAGACCCTGGGCCCTCTCCTCCCACGGCAGAGACCACCCCAGCTCTGGGTCCTCTCCTCCCACAGCAGAGACCACACGAGCCCCAGGCCCTCTACTCCCACGGCAAAGGTAACAGAGACAGCACGAGCCCTGGACCCTCCGCTCCCATAGCCCATTGAGCCCAGCCTGCAGGCTTTCCGGGGACAGCTGAGCTGGGAGCCCCTCCGGGGATGGCTCTGCAGAGCAGCCCAGCCAGAGCCCCGGGGACGACCACTGTCCCTGGGCTCCCAAACAGCCCAACTGGGAGCGCCAGGCTGCCTGCCACCCGCCTTGGCCACCTACATCTGCTGCCTGGGCCTCACTGTGCCTGGGCGTGCACACACGCACACACAGGCCCACGGCCTGGAACCTAGGGAGGACCGTCTGCTCCCGCCCGGCCCCGGGTGCCCCAGGGTCAGGGAGGCTCTCCAACCTGCTCCATGAAAACAACTGCACAGAAAAGGCTGCCTGAGATGGGGCTGGGCACGGCGCTGGCAGGCGGGAGCATTATATAATTAACTGCCCCAGACTCCTCCTCCTCTTCGGGTAATAACGAACCCTGCTTTTCAGTTGCATAAGCCAAAATAATAATTACTCTCCAGCCCCCCATCTCTCCCGGACGCGGCCGGGGAGCAGGTGTTCTGAGCCTTCTCCGCAGGGCTCGGAGGCAGGGAGCGGGCGGGCGGGAGGACGAGGCCACACGTCCGCTCATGATTTTTATTCCTGGCAGAAGCACAAGTCATCTCTGCATCTTACTCCCTTCCCCGGCATCCATGCCTGGAAAACAGCCCTGCCGCCCCAGGGGAGGCACGGAACCCCTTCAGAGGAGGCACAGAGCCCCTTTGGAGGATGCGCTCCTGCCGGGGACAGGGGTGGGGGGCCTGGAGAGTGGGTTTGTTCGGGGTCTGGTTTCCGGGAACCGTACCGGCTCCATGCATGTCCGACGCACCGAGAAGTGGACACTGGAGTATCCGGACAGGGGCAGCTGCAGGGCCGACGAGGCCCCCAGCACGGAAGCCATCCCCCAGCTGGCAGGCAGCTGCCCGGCTTCCGGCCCCGGCTCAGCCCCGAATGTGGTGGCATCTCAGAACCATTCCCTGAACCAACAACGGTGGAAATGATTCAGCCACTGGAAGGCGAGATTCCGGGCTCTCGCTCAGCAGATGGGCCTCCCTCCCTCCCTCCCCTCCAGCCGCCTGCGTCCCGGAGAGCCACATCCAACCACCTAGAAGTTTATTGCCTGGCTGTTGTGGTTCAGGCTGGCATCCCCCGCCCCTGGCGCTCCCCATCACTCCCTTCCCTCGGGTTGGTTCAGGACTGGGAAGGCCCTTGGGCACCGCAGGAAAAC